GAGGCCAATCTGTGCCTTTTGGGAAATGTAAGGGGGCTCCGCAACAAGGACGCTCCCTTTGTTCTTCTTTTGTTGCTTTCATTTTCTTTGATCGTTCCGACAAAATTTAACACGTTTGAAGACTTGTCTCTGAAATCCAGGAACATACAGATACAAAATTGTCGCCTATCCAATGCACAGTTTGGCCTCTTAATGATCTCAGCGAGAACCCGGGTTGGCGTTCATAGAAGAAAAATGCTTATCATTCAGTTTCATATGTGAAATCTATCGAAAAAAAATGCTTATCATAGAAAATTCATACAAAATTTGCAAGTGTTTTAAAAATTTTTGATGAACATTTTTGGTCTACTTGCCTCTTTTGAAGCTTTCTGGTCATTAGAAAAATGATTTAAATTTTTTCATAAAAAATGCTTATCATACACTTTTCATATATGAAAATTGTATGATATGCATTTTTTTTTCATAAGCAAAAACTAAAATTCGAAGTAAAAAATGTTAATCCCATTTTGGACTGCAAACTTGCTTTCGTGCTACAACATAAATTTTACGAAAAAAAATTTTTTGCATGCAAAATTTGACTTTTTGTGTTTATAACGTAGTCCAGGATGAGTTTTTCACCCAAAAAAATCGAAAAATTACAAGAAAATGTTTTTTTTTGTAAACACGATTATTTTCTTTTGTTTCAATTGCTAAAATAAAAATAATTTTGTAGAAAAACAGACCTTTTTTCTCAACAATCAAAATTTTTTCAAACAAAAAACTATCTAGCCATATTCAAAAAGTTATTTGTTCGGTATATAGTTCCATGTGAAAATGTTATAAAAAACTTTTATGACTAAAGTCACCAAATGCAGTTTATCTGCGTGGTAATTGCCAGTTACACTCTGGGTTGTCTTATGACAAAAAATCCTTGTTTAGCGTTTCGGTTGAAACACGAAATTTCGAAGCAAATTTTTTTAAATTTTCGTTTATGAAAAAATGCTTATCATACAATTTCATAGTATGGAAAAATTCCTTATCACACAATTTCATTTCTGGAAAAAATGCTTATTTTGCATAGACTTAATTTTGCTCTATGAAATTGTATGAAAGAGTATGATAAGCATTTTTTTCAGATATGAAAATTGTATGATAAGCATTTTTTGTCAACCCGGGAAGACAAATTTCTAAGCGAGGCAGGAAGAACCGGAGGCCAGTCGAGCCGAAATAGGCAGATCTAATCTTCATAGACCGAAGACATATGAGGACTTGCTTCTTATAAAATGGCTGGATAAAGCCCACATTTTGTATACCAGGTTAAAGGAAAAACTAGCCATAACAGTTCAATTAAGAAACACAACTCCCATTGACTTGCTGGTTAGGTCTGACCTGTTCCAGATGAGCTCACAAGGATAGTTTTCTACAACGTTTCCTTGCTGGACAAGACAATTGAGGCCAATCTAGAGCCTGACTGTTATAAAAGGACTATTGGTTGATCAGGTCTTAAAAAGGGACCTTATTGGTTATCCAAACTGGAAGTCGCGGAAGTGAGTTTTTGCCACTCTTAAAACTTGAAGAGACAGCTCTCTTGGAGAAGCAGCTTGGACATCACGGATGAGTATTATTTTTAGAAACGATGCCATTGAAGTGGCAATAATGCAAAGTTGTTCGTTTGAACTAAATAGAAGAGGTTTTGAGCTTGAATACAGAAGGTGAAGGAACAACAACTGATATAGAACTCATAGCGGTGGCTAAAAGGTCAGCACAATGAATCAAAGGTCACTGGCTACCCGTACCGAGAAAATTCTTTATTTCTGAGCTGAAATGCTTTGTATCTAATCTAATTTCTGGTCAGAAATTCTTTTTGAAATGATTAAATAAACATTGAAATGTTTTTGAAATGTTCGGTACGGGTAGATGATCTGCAACCGTTCCAGTTTGCCGAGAAACTATTGTCTAAGGCTGTGAGCGTGAAGCTGAATGTTGTGACGCCCACAAGTCGGACGGTACAATTGGCCACTTCAAAGTGCAAAAAAAGATACAAAAGCAAGCTCTAAATTTTCAGGAGAACGATGAAAAGAATATTAAACTGACGAGGTGGATAAGGAATGTGAGAGAAGACAAAAGAGGCCTGGAGAAAGACAATCATCCTCAGGTTCTACAAGGTGAAAACATACACGTTATATCTGATTTAAAAAACGCTGCTTTGGCCTGACGAGGAACGAGAGAAGACAAACTGCTCCACAAATACAACCTAATTGTGTCTCAGTTATAAAAAACAGAGTTTCTCTTCAAGTTCCATAATCAAATGGGGTCATCGAAGTGTTGATAAGGTGAAAGCTCAGACCTTGAAACGATTTGAATGGCCGGGAATGAAGCAGGTCTACAAAATAAGGTTCAGTCGTGTGGGTGGCCTGCAAAAAATGAAGGAAAACAGCAAGATAAAGTTTCCCCTGAAATCAGCCAAGAGTTTGGAATTTAACGGTGCAGATTGTAGACCAAGACCACCAAACAAGCTGCATGACCTATTCAGAATGTAACCAAATCTTGGTGGGTGCTGATCAAATCATTATACTGGCTGAAGCAGTGCCATGCGGGAATGCATCAATTGAGGCCAACATTTGATCACTTGGTGTTTCCTTGGAATATAATCAAGAGAAATGTAAACATCCAAAATTGATCAAACTCATTCAACCACATATCATCACCACCCATATAATTCTTTTTTTCATAAAAATTTTACAATTTAAAGAACGGAACCTTTTTTGAGGTAATTAGATTTTGATTTTCTATAAAAAGTTGTCCGAAGTGTCCGTGTAACACAATTAGACCAATAACAACTGATGGTTAAAGAAACCTTTTGATGTCACAGGTATTAATATTGTAGACACTCGAATGTTCTTGGCAAATTTCAAGTGCTTTTTTATGAACAAAACGTAAAGCTTGAGTTGGACTAACCTAAAAACGGATATAAATATTGCATCTATAGACAATTTAAGCATTTGTAATCCAAATCAATTTTGAAATTGTTTTCTTGTCACATTTCAAAAATTCCCCGCCAAAACGTTCTTTCAGGACAATTTTTGCGCCTCTTGTTGATTTTGAAAGGCAAAAACGCTGCCAAATAATTAGAGGAAAATATATAATATTTTTGGCTGTCGGCTTAACTGCTTTCGAACGTTTTTTGGTAAAAAAGTTTAAATGTCAGCTCTTTTGTTGATCATCAATTTTTTGCTACTTACAAATAAATTGAGTTCCAAAAATAGCCCAAAACGTTCCCACCACAGTTATTGGTTCAGAAAAACTAAAACATTTAAATCAAATTGCTTTCAATTTTTTTATAGAAAAAACGCAATAAACTTTCAGCTTATGTACGCGCCGCTTGTAGATGCAGTTTGAAGAGAAAAAATTACCCTGTATTTTTTGAAAAAGTAATCAGGAGGAGTTGAGAAAATAAAGAATATATCCAACATATTAATTTTTGTCAAAATTGAGTCTGAATATCAAAAAAAAATTTTGTTTTAAAAGATACTCTTGGCCATTTTAAACCACGTTATTTTTTTATCACATCTAAAACGATTCCAACGACAAGTCCCATTGAATCTCACATTAGCCTCCTTTGAGGAAATCAGAATTAACTGATAAACACCGAAGCTACACCGTATTTTCTTTCCACTCTCTCGAAAGTAGACAGAAGAACAACTAATTTTTTATAGAATGATTGTTTTCATTAATTGATTTAGAAAACTGGCATCTTAGCGGACCTTTATTTTCGCAAACTCAAGACAAAAGATGTAACTCTCCGAATGACAATTAGTTTCTTTTTTCTCTGCTATAAGTTGAGTAATTGTAAAAAGTTTCAATGTATTGATGTTCTAGAGTCCAATAAACAGTGTTCTTGCAAAAAAATTTGAATGACCTCAAAACGTACGCAAACAAAATTTATTTCAGCCATACGAAATGTATTATGGATTCTGCTATTCCTTAATCACCAGACAATCACTAAGAATAATTGTAGATCATATACTTCAAAAAATTAATATTACTCATTACTCAACTCAATACACGATGCACATCGAAAACATAAAATTAAAATGGGACTGTTGATAAAGACACGACATGAAAGTTCTTAAGTTAACTATTAGGACAGTACTAAATTCAGGGCGAGGCACACACCCTCCTCTCAAAGTTACACGCAAGAATTGATCTAGGAAAGGACGCACGTTAGACGCAGAGTTGGAGGCAGGGGTGGATCTTTTTTTCAGGGGGAGTTTCGAGGACGAACTTTCAAAAATGTTCGATTATTTGGTGAGCTTCTTTTAAGGATGACCAGGTTGCTGTTTCCCAGCTCTTCGAAAACCCTGTAATATAAAACCATCTTTTGCAAAAGTTTCTGCATTGCATTTGTGGGCACTTTTTTGAAGATTTTGACCCAAAAATGCATTTTTTGGGCGCGCGTACCCCTTTAAAACTTATTACTAAGTAATACTAAGGGGAAGTAAAATAGTACTAAGGGGAGGAACCATTGGGTATAAAGGGGTCAAACTCTTAAAAGGGAGATCTACCCCCCCCCCCCCCCCCCCCCCGCTTTCTTAGAAAATTTAAGTTTTTAGGCGTCGTCGGCGCAGATGCAGATTTTTCAGGAGCAAACTTTTTTGAACTCCCTTTCGAGAAAATCCTGTATCCCAGCACTTGAATCTTGTTTCTTACTGATTCCTTCTAAAAGTACCAGCTGCTTCTAAATTTTAAAAGATTCTTTCAAGGGATGGTGACAAATATGATCATTGAAAATTATTCAAAAAATTTTATGGGGAATCATTTTTTGGTTCTTCCATTAATCTGATTTTCGATAAATCATTACATGCTTACCACATGTCTTTGTTCTCTGATAGGATAAATATCTGCTGACTTAAAGTTTGGAACTTTCATTCTTTGCAAATTTGATAATCAAACAATTGATTGCCATCAGCGAAGGTTTTGGACGTTTGGTGTTTCTTGTCTAAATCGCTCGTTTGATGTCTACGTGCAATCTTGATACAAACATACTTTGTTGCACCTTAAATTTTGCGCAGTTTTGAGTCAAATAATATTACTACATTATTCACAATACGACTTACTGATTGTTAGTTTCCAATGTCATACAAATCGTTTCTCAAAATGGCAGATATGATGGTATTGTTTAGATTCCGATGTTTAGAAACGCCAAAATACATCATAATTTAAAATTCATTGTATTGATTTCGGGATCTTGAACCCATTAAGCGAAACTTTAGTTTGTTTGTTTCTTTCATTTCTTTTACATGAGAAACACTCAGATATTGTTATTTCAAGTTTCAAAAATCTTTTAGTTGAAATTTTAAACTTATTCAGAAACCTATTTCCAAGTAGTTTAATCTATCGGCTTTACTGGACTGCTTTTCATTTTAATTAAACACAAGAAATCAAAAACAGTGTACTGCATCACTTCAATTTTTTTCTTTAACGCAGAAAACACCAAACTCCCGGCTACGCTTTTCAGAGAATGTTTTACAAATTGAAATGATATATATAAAAAAGCAGGGATGGATCTAGGATTTTCATTTATTCGAGGGAACGGGGGCGGATTTGCAAACAAAAGTCGAACATTTTGTCGACCTTTTCTGTTAGGTCGACTAAATTTATTTTCTGAGCTGTCCCAAATTTCTATATAGACCCTATTTCAACGCAATGAAAAAAAGTCTAAAAAGCGTTTGTAGCTCTTTTTAAAAAGTATGACTAAAAATCGCGTTTTTTTGGCACGCGCTCCCCTCTCAAAATAAGAAAATATTGGCTTCAAAGCCGCTTTAGGAAACAATTTAGGGTCAGACAGCCAAAAACGTATATCTTAATATAGTACAGGGGAGGGACCTTTTTGGTCGTTAGGGGTCAAGAATCTGAGTGGAAGGTGCGTCTGCTTCGCTCCATCCTATCTAAATCCCTTAATGTAAAAATTGAGAAAAACCAGCCACCTATTGTATGAATCGTATGAAAAAAAAATAATTGTAGAAAAAATCAAAACGTTTTCAGTCTTTTTTTGAATAAATATGTTACACATTGGAATGGGTCGAGTCGTATATCACATTGAAGCCCTCTTAATCATGATTTCAGCGAATTTAAAAATTTTCTTACCGTCGAGAAGTTTTTGGGTTGTTTTTATTTCGAGCGAGTAAAGCGAGCGAGTAGGTCTTAGATTAAAAAAACATCATTTGACAAGTAAAAACATAGTCTTACTTCGGTAAACTAAATTTGAAGCGTCATTTGGCGCCTACTGCGCAATAATTTTTTTTCTAAATCAAAAGAAAAATTGAGCAGAAATTTAGAAAAAGCTTTTGAAACAATTTTATGATTTAAAGGTTACTCTTTGCTCGTTTCACATTTTTCAAAACTAAAGGATGTCGATTAAGCCTAGTTCACTAAATATCTATGATTTTTTTAGTTTTACATCACACAACACACAGAAATGATCCTAAAATGAAAATGAAAAAAAAACAGCTATCCTTGTTATATACAAAACTGTTCAAATTAGGGCGAAATCCTATCTCTTAAGACTGCCCATTTATGAGTCCAAAATAATTTTCTGGCCTATCAACCTTTTCTTTTTCGGATAAATATTACGGATGGTTGAAATTTTTCTTAGTGGTGATTCGTATAAAATTCGATTCGAAAGCAAATCAACATTGGGGCTGCTGGAAGGATACAACAGTAAGCTTTTATCATGAGTGAAGAGGAGCAAAATATGTATCCTTAGGCGCCAATAAAACTTCATGACAAATTAAACTAAAATTTTGCTCCTTCAAGACCATCATCATTGCATCGATAACAGTTTAAAAACTTGTTGGATGATATTAATTCGTGCTTGTTTTTATACGATTCGAATAAGAGTACAGCAATGAGGTTACCACGCGGTTGACTAGGAAAGGTAGGCCAAAAGTATCACTTAAGTGCAAATTACCGAAGAAAAATTTATCGTTCTTTTAGATATTCATCACAGATTCATGCAGGTTTATCAAAGTGATATTATTCTCAGCACAGAACTTTTTCAGTACCGCGTTATACTCAACAACGCGGATGCGGTTGTTGATATCGGCATATAAAGAACCGCCGAATTAGAACCGCCGAATAAAGATCTCGGCAAAACTAATTCTTTTACGGGAATTAATTGCTTTTTCTCTGCTATAAGAAGAGTAATTGTAAAAAAAACTTCAATGTATCTATAAATGTTCTAGACCACAAAAAAGTGTTCTTGCAAAAAAATTAGGATGACCGGCCACAAATTGTACGTTTCAAAAAAAAATCCTTTCAGACAAACGAAATATATCATGGATTTGGCTATTCCCTAATCACCAAACAATCACCAAAAATATTTGTAGGGCAGATACCTTATCTTACTCATGACTCCCTACATGATACACATCCAAAAATTAAATACAAATAGGACTGTTGATAAAGATAGGACGTGACAGTTTTTAGTATAGCTATTCGCGCAGGAGCAAACTTAAGGCGGGGCAGACCCCCTCCCTCTCCACTCTAGCTTAGACGCAGGGATGGTTCTAGTTTTTTTTTCAGAGAGAAGGGGAGGACGAAATTTTGAAAATGTCGAATAATAGGATGTCGATTCAGCCTAGTTCACTAAACTTCTCTTCGTTTTTTTAGTTTTACATCACACAACCGACAAAAATGATCCTAAAGTGAAAAAAAAAACAGATATCCTTCTTTTATACAAAACTGTTCAGATTAGGGCAAAATCCTATGTCTTTAGACTGCCCATATATGAGTTCGAAATAATTTTGTGGCCTATCAACCTTTTCATTTTTTTCTGAAGAAACTTCTTCAGAAATTTTCACTTCTTCAGAAAATTTCACCACGCAATGTCAAGTAGAAGGTCATACATTTTGAGTCTAAATACCCATTATTTGGACCTGTTCGTTTGTTTTATAACATTTCACTTGGAAAAACCAGAATAAATTGCCGTCTACGCTTTACCAGCAAACTGGATAGATATTTAAAGTTTAGAAATTGGTCCTCTCAAAAAATTCAGTACCGCGTTCAATATTCCGACCGATAGATCGGATATTTTGGACCAAATGTTAGGGTAAAATTTTCCTTTTGACTTTCGAGGAAACGATCAAACATCTGGTTTTTTTTCTTTAGAAAAGTGTTCTACTATCTTAACAGCAATTAAACAGCCTCAAACCTTACTATAAACCCTGTCAAGTTAAAACGCGTTTAAAAAGTTTTAAAAAAACACCGTTGAAAAATCGTAAATATTTCGAAATCAACGCCTCAGTAGAGAGTCAATATTTGTCTGTAGAGAACCACATCGAGGAGAGATGTTCAGTCTTAATACAGTATTCTATATTGTATTAATACTCAGGTTTATAAGGTTTTGAGCGGGAAAAACACAACGTTTTTGGGATATTTTTGAAGTTTGCCGCAGCAAATTTATTCTTTGTTGGTTCAGCCTGCTATTAAAAGCTTGTTTCAAAAGTTACTCTGAAAAAACATAATAATTCTTGTGAAAGGGAGCTTAGGTTATAATAAAACCGACAAGATTTCCAGAGAACGCGTCGCCTTTGTTCGTGACAGAGGCAAAATCCTGAGAGAAAAAAGTTGTTTTTTTAACCTGCCGGTAAAATAGAGCAAATCCATCCCATAGGAAGTTTTTTTTGAGTTTGTTTGCTAATTTAGCCGCATAAATAAAAAAATGGGTGAGTTTGATTTTGAGTGAAACATTTTTCAGGACAATTCTCGTCGCCAGTACCAATTTTTCTACGAATCTGAACATCGAATGAAGGCTTAAATTAACTGAACTACTTCGCTCAAATTTCGCGTCATGGAAACTGGGGTAAACAAAATCTGTCAAAGTTTGTCTGAAGGATTGTTTGTTCGTAATAAGCTTATCCGAAGCACGAAAGTATATATAAGAGGGTTGGGGCTTAAGAGCTAAGCTTGCTGTTACCCCGCGTGTAGTATATGGAAACTACAAAGTATCATTCCACATAAAAAATATATTTCCAATTATGCGTCCACCCTTCATCAGAAATCTTAAAACAAAGCGTAGTTCAGAAAAAATAATCAAAATTATTCCGAAAAGTTTGAAATTTTTCGAAAATTTTTAATTGCAAATTTTAATTGAGAATTTTTAGTTGTAGATTTTCAATTTAATTTAGTCATTACCATAGAAAGAATTTTTCCAAAGTCAATACACTGTTTCAAAGTACATCTTTCAGCTTTTTGTAGTAATCAGAGTTATCAATTCGACACTCGAAATCACACCTCAAATTAGTTAGCGACAACAATGGGCGCTCTGTTGTGTTGTCCGCCGGATGAAGATGTGCAGCGGAACAACGAGATAGACATGAATTTGAAGAAGGACGCGGAGAAGCTGAGGTCCGATGAGAAACTACTGCTGCTGGGGGCGGGCGAGTGCGGAAAAAGCACGGGTACGTAAAAACGGATCTCTCTAAGTATATCCCCCTTTTGCATAATGGGGGGATGGGGGGGGGGGGGGGTCGTTATTAGGTTGAAAGTTCTCATATGCTTAACCAATGATTTATTTCTTTGAAGGGGGGATATTCGTTACTAGGTACCCGAGGGGGGATATACTTAAAGAGATCCCATAAGGACAAGTGAGTAGAACTACCTTTTCCTAATGTATCCCCACGGAACATAAGAACTGCTGGACGATCTTTCACTCATAAACCAACAAACCCCATTAATCAGTAGCGGAGTTAGGAGAGGGGGTTGGGGGGGGGGGGTGGGGACGCCCTTTCCCTGGAACTCGACACCCTGTCCATTCAATGGGTGCTTTTCCCTTGCTACTCTTGTACGACATCAAGTTCTGACTGAACGAACCTAAAATTTTTCTTACGGCGCCTTTGGTGTCATTACATAATAACTTTGAGGGAGAGCGCGCGCCAATAGAAACGCGAAGTTATGGTCAAAACTGAGGGGCTGTTTGGAAGCAAGGTTTTGTCCCGCATTAGATTTTGTGTCCTGCAACAGATTTTGTACGAGTAGAAAATCGACAGATTTGGTCCTTTTTTGAATAGCAGAAAACTTAGTGTTATCTCAAAAAACTCTCTAACGATGACTTGGCGGTGGTTGCTTAGGCATTTTCGTAAGCAATTCGTGTCTGCGGGGCTGACAAGTTTCAACACGTATCAGTTGGTTCTGTAAATATATCCTAATCGAACTTTAAAAATGGGCAACTCTGCAGGTTTCTTAAACAATTCTTTTTTGCACTGGGGCTTTTTAACTACCAATAAAAAATCTGCTCGAAACAAGGTAAGTAACTTCTCCCCGTCAGGGTGGAGTATTAGTCCCTTAAACTTTTTTTTAAAATAACTTATTATATATTATTTTGTTTTGTTTTATGATTTTTTATATATTTCGCATCTACTGCCACATCACTCTGGCCAATTAGTTTGGCTTAGTTTAATTTTTGACAATTTTTGAGACAGATTGCCTCATCTAAATTGATACACCAATTAATAGAAAATTAGCCCAATTTAGCAATATGAATCTACTTAACAATCTACTAAGAAATACCCCTGTAAAGAAAACAGTAAATTGGCCCTAGAGCGTTCTATGTAAAATTCGAATCTCAGATTGAATTAAAATCTGTTGGGTCAAAAACTCGATAATTTTATCTACTTAACAATTGCCTCCCTTTTTTGAAAGAGGGGGAATTGTTAGGAAGATCCGGCAGTTTTTAATATCCCTAATAAATTCGCAAAAAAATATATCAAAAAATCATGTTTTTGAATTTGAATTCAGAGTGTCAAAATTTTTTAGAGGTTTACAAAACAATTGGTTAAATAAAACGTCGAAATTGTTCTGAATAAAATACATGAATGATACATTTTTCGTCCCTTTTTTCAAAACTCGAAACATCAATGTACATCACACATGGTTTGCAACACGCGTTTTATGTCTACCGTGTCGAATAAAAGCGCAGCGGAGCAACGCAGAAAAAGCTTTGGATCTATTTGACAATCTTTAACTATATCCCCATTTTGCAAAATTACTAGGTATAAAAATCTGATATGCTTCACCGTTGGTTTTTTGTTCCGACTTTCGTAACGAAAGTAACGGAATATTTGTGCTCGGGTGTTTTTTTTTCTTCAGACAATTTTTTTTAACTAGCCTTGTTTGACCAAATTTTTTTATATCATTTAAAAAGTACTGTTGTCTTGAGCTTAAATTCAAAAAGATATTTCATCTGAGATTATTTTTTGTAAAATATTGGGGGTTTAAAGAATACCATTTTCGCCATTTTGACCAATTTGGGACAATTAACGCGCGATATAATTCGCGCTATTAACGCGTAAGCGGAGATTTAATCCGTCTTATAAATTGTTCCAAATTGGTTGAACGAAGTTTATTTGCCATAATTGATTTGTTACAAGGAACGAAATCTATCTTTTTGTACTTTATATGGCGTGTGGGGGGATGATTTTCACAAAAAATTTCAAATTTTGGAAAAAAAAAAGTTCATTTTAATTTATTTCAATAAATTTTTTATGTTATTACTGCTGCTCCATAAACCTTAAAAGGCAGTCGGAACCTTCAGGGCTTCGCCCTGATACGAGCAGTCTTGTTTCTTTATGGGGAAGGATATTCGTTACTAGGTACCCCCGGGGGATATAGTTAAAGATATCCAGAAATCTTGATTGAACCTTTTCTGTCTAACGTTCTGGTTGACTGTAACTGAAAATTATCTAATGCGCCTTCGACGCAATTAATTAACCATTTTGAGTGCGAGCACGTACAGAAAAAAACGCTTTTTGTAAAAGTTCCAAGGTTTCCTTATGGAGTTTTCGGCATGATTTGTTTGCAAAAAGTTGACGTCGCAAACATTTTATGGACGGCGCAAATTGTGACTTTATAGTGTTTTGAGAGGGCTGGAAAAATCAAGTTTTCTGAATCCGAATAAAAAAAATTGATGAAAATTTTGATTTTTTTGAACTCCTCAATCCCTTCGCGAAGGTCCTAGATTGATTAAACCATCTTGAGATTTACACAGGTTGCTAATTTATGTTCACTGTGTTTTAGTGGTGAAGCAAATGCGGGTGATTTATGCGGACGGATTCAGTCGGGATGAGAAGCTCAAGTTCAGGGCCATAGTGCGGGACAATGCAATCAGATCAGTGGCCATGATACTGCAGGCCATGAAAAACCTGGGCATAGTTTTCGAGGTACTCCATTGCACACAAAAGTTGTTGTGCTATTCAGAATACAATTGGGTTATTGTGCTAAATTGTTTCATTACATAAAAACTTATTTCTTGCAAGGTACCGTTTTGCCAAAGGTCTCAGCTTAAGAATGAGATGATAACTATATGAATCTACTTAAATGAATCTACCCCTCTGTTATTTTATAAAATATACTTCTTAAGTTTAACAGATTGTGTTTGGAAAAAATAACAAAACGATAAAATTGGTATCCCATAAATTGAGCCATTAAGTTTTCTGTTAAATCTTTCCGAACGAGTATCATGTGCGTGTTAGAACGGAGACCTGGAGGAGAAGGACTCTCAGATCAGGGAGTTCCAGTTGAACTTTGACCCCTTGAATAACAATATCCCGAATAGCATCGTGAGTGCCATTGTTGCTGTGTGGCAGGATCCAGGACTACAGTCTTGCTACGTCAGGTCAGATGCTACTCTCTTTCCATTTATGATAAAGTTATAAGTTGAATTTGGTTAAGTTGAAAACTACTATAGTTGATTTTGTGCTAGTTATTATTATATTAACCAGTAATGGTGTCTTATCGTTTTCTTGCTCATGAATAGGCAATTCTGCTTAAGCTAAATTGACTTGAAAAAATTAACAAAGCTGAAGACAATTTACTGGATTATCAGTCCTTCCCACTGCGCAAAAAAGCCGAGATCCACCCTTGTTACCACCTTTCGTTAACAGCTCTAACAATGCTCTTGCCCCCACATAGCAAAAATTTCAATTAAATTTTATTATAACATTGATAAAATACCTTTCAATGTCGAGATTCAAATAAGAGGGGGGGTGAAAAATAAAAGAGTGAGTTAGGACCAAGGTGGTTAACTCATAGAGTAATTTCGGATAGGGTACACCGTCTGCTCGTCACGCTATCTTATTTTCGGCCGGATAGATTCGTGCAACTTCTTAGTCTAATACCGATCCTAATCTTACTCTTATACTATCTAGTCTCAGGTTGTTTAACTAGTCTCTGCTAGGCTCAATAGATCTAGGGTATACTGGTTTATTGCGGCTGCTGAAGTCTTCTTGGAGAGTCCAACTAATTTCTAAGTTAAATTCAAATCTCTCTGGTGCTGAAATTACAAGTAATTTCAGCACTTACAAATAAGTGGGTTGTTAGTTAGATGGATCATGATTGGTTAATATTAAATACTTTACAGTGGTAAAATATCTAATTTATCCAATCATAAAATGTAGTTTAGATCAGGTTCCACCCATCCGGGTTTTACAGAGTTTTTTAGAATAGTCTTTCTGCAATTCAAAGGATGGATGATGGACGTTGGTATTTGGCGAACATCATATTTCTTCTGGGTTCTCTTGTTAGAGGAGTTCCAGGTTCAATCGTTGTGTCTTCTCATGACAACAACTGGGTTTTCGCAACAAACTCAAATCTGATTTCAGAATGGTTGGCTATGACAGGTTTTTTGCGTTTCATGTAGAGAACTTCTTTTGTGTTTGACCTTGTCTGGGAATGGCGTGGAGATTGTGCGTGGAGGGGATGCCTGGTTACTCGGATCTGTACGTATAATTGAACATCGAGGTGGTCATTGGTCTAGTTCAATGAAGCCCTTTTCTGCGAAGTCAAGTCGTACTCTAAATCCTTTGAGTTGTGATTGTGGGCGGCATATTGATTGTGGTTGGCCATTCTTTTTCGAGTGTAGTGGGGTCATTTTGTCTTTGGATGTTCGTCTTTGGTGTTGTATGCTGATCTATATACTGCAAGGTGTAATTTACATTTATAAAATTTTTATTAGTTTGGTGTTTTAATTATGATTTTGGTTAGTTGTTTTCACAAAAGCTTTTTGTTTTAGTTCGGTTATTTTGAAGAGTTACTCACCCTTGAGTACCTCTTATTAAAAATAGGAGTGTCGTCACAAAGCGTGGATGTAGCGCGGTGGGTTAGGCCGGCTATAGAGCATGCTCAGGACGTCCTCTCTGGTGGGTTAGGCCAGGAGTGGGAGTATGATTTCGTGCGGTTTCTGTGAGAGGTCCTGTTATGTGATAACGTTTTATGTTGGGTTTATTGTGGTTTTTCTTATGTTTCGTTGGTTGTGTCCTTTTTTCAAAAATCAAATTGTTTTTGGTATGGGTTTGTCTTTCGACTTTTTTGTGTTTTATTATTCCTTTCTTAGACTTTATAATAGTCTTCAAAAGAATAAATTATCCAGTTTTAAACTGGGTTAATCCGGTTTGGGTACCGTTGGTTTCCTTTTCTTAGTCATGCTGTTATTCTATGATCTGTGGTGTTTAGTAAGCTGCATTGGTTAGTTTTGTTTAGTATATAATTCCTTTCCAACCGGGTTAAAGGAAAGTTTGAAACTTGTTATCGTGTGTTAGAGTTGTTGAGTGTGAAAACTTGAAACTGAAATTCATTATTTTAAACAATTCTTCGTGGGCGAGCTGTGCAAGTTTGGATAGAATTTTTGTGCGAATGAATGAAATATCAAAAGGTTAGTACTGCATTTTCGTTTTATTAATTTACTACATAGAATTCAATTTTACTGCTAGTTTTGGGGAAAAATTAAGTTACAAATTTTCATCATTATTAGATTTACTGCTTGTGGGGAAACAATTTATAAATTAATTTACTACATTGGTATGAATTGAATTTAGCTTGTGCAAAATATTAATAGAAGTTTGAACAATTTGAAGGAGTTTTCTATTTTTGATTTTTCTTTTGTGTATTTTGCAGATGATCGTGGGATGAAGACTAAAAATCTAAATAAGACATGGATAAAGAATGGTTAGTGTTTTGTTTTAAATTTATTAGTTAAGAATATATATAAATTATACTTACCTGTTAGTCGTCAGGGAAAAAACCGTGGGGGAAGATGTCGTGTATTATGTCTGAATTTGTTAGTAATTTTGCTAGTATGCGAATGATGTTTTTAGTTTGAAGCAGTGGCCAAAGCAATTGAAGTGCTTTAATGGTTTTTAGTTCTTCAGTGCCAACTGCAAACTCATAAGGTGTGTTTTGGATGAGATTATATAATTTGTGGTTATATTTAGTGTTGTGGATGAATTCTAATATGGGGATTTCTATAGGTTGAACAAATTCATGTGGGATAAGAAAGGGTCTGGATTCTTCTGCGTTGAAGGTCTTTGTGATGGGACAAAAAATATACATTTGGGTTATGGGATCATAATTGCGAAGAATACCGTGAAGGTTAGTATCTTTGATGCAATATGTGAAATTAAGAAAAAATGGTGAAGTGTATTTAGAGTTAATAAATTGAAAACGATGGTGTGGTTGTCTTGATGGAGTGTGTAGGTCAAAGTGATTTTGTATGAAGCGGTAATATGTATATGTGTGGGTTTGTTTAGTGCGTAACATAATGTCGTGTGAGCAGTGCAATTCTCGTTCATGTGGTGCAAGGAAATGAAAGGTTAGTGAAAATAATGGAAATTCTTCTTTAAAACTTTCGTAAGCTTGTGTGTTGGTTAGTGCTTCAGAAATGATGTGGTCAAATTTGCGATCAAATATATTGAGTGTAAATACATATGGTGTTTTAATGAAAAATTTTTCTGTGATTTGTGGGTTAGCGAAGCAATCATCATCTAAAAATTGGTCTTGGTTAGTTCGGATGATGTTATGATCATAATATTCTAGCGTATACTCGTTAGCTCGGGGTGCTGTGTATGTTTTAGTGACTTTTTATATCCTATATAAGTAAATTGTCTATGTGTTAGTGGTGTAGTGAGTCGATATAGCATATTTTGATGTCTTTCAATATCGATGTGAGTAGTAGATAGAGGTAGGCAAAGGGGGTTAGTAAAATGATAATATGATGTCCAATGGAGTGTAGGCATTAAAACGTGTTCGTCTACAAAATTACCCGTTTCGTTAGTGTCGTTAGGGGTGTTTAATGTATATTGTGGAAATGAAGGTAAGGTGATTGCTAAAAATTCTCTCGTGTTAGTGTGATTTGGGTGATTAATATATTCACGGGCTGTTCCTGGTTTTGTTGGAAATGGATGGTTTGGGAATTTTCTTTTGAAAGTGCGGTAAGCTCTATTAGTGCTAATTGATGATTCGGTGGATGTGGATGATGGTGCTAATGATGCGGTATAAGCTGAAGAGGGTGTAGGGGTAGGTGGGTTTGATGATTCTATGGTTGATGAAATCTGGTTTATAGTTGAGGTGTCAAGGTGGAAGGGTTGTTGTTGTAAGGTGATAAAATTATCTAGTTCTTGGGAGATTTGGGGGGTGTCTGGAGAATTGGGTGATCGGTCTGAATGAAGTGAAGAGTAGGTTGGGGTAACTTGTGAAGCATAGGAGGGTGTAGAAATGGATGGGAGTGGGTTATTTGGTGGGATTGGTTGAAAAGGGGGTTTCGAAAAAACAGAGGGATTGGTTTGAAAATTATTGGATGGAGATGGTTCAGAGTCTGCAAATTCATCAGGGGTTTCAATATCTGGGTTATTGAGTTGTGAGATGGAGTATAAAACTGAGATGTGTGAATTAGTGTCTGAATTCATGCCTGATGTTATAGTATTGGTTGGAAAATCGGGTGGCGGGAAAGCAAAAAGTGGAATTATTGTAATTGGAGTGTTGGGGTTGGTTGGGTGGGAATTTGAGCGGTGTAGGGATCCAAGTTGTCGGCTCATCGTGGGCTAAAAAAATTATTATTTTGAGACTGAAAAGCAGTTGTATGTGGTTGTTCTATAATTTGTTCATATGTATTTTCATCTAGTGAATTGTGTGTTACTATACGTTGAATGGGGCTTTGTGATATGGTTGGTCTAAAGTTTGGATTATGTGTTATTGCTAAATTTCGAAAATTTCGTGGGACTAGTGATAATGGATGGTTATGTGGTAGGGGTGGTAACTGTGGTGCTGTAGGTGTAATGTCTACATTGTTATGTTCTTCGTCATATGTTTTCTGTCTTGTTGCTATTTTTGTGTTGTATTCTTTTATTTGTGCGTCTAAAAGAATTTTGTTTATTGATGATGAAAAAATTCCGAAAAATCCTGCAAATAGGATGCGTGCTACACTTGCTTGTCTATTTACTTGTGTGTGTATAGCGCATGTATTATAGATTCCTTTTAAGAGTGAGAAAAGAAATCCTATAAAGTTAAACATTGCGTATAAAATAGTTAATTTTTCTAAGATGTAATAGGGCCATCCTAGAAAATCAAGAATTTCATTTTTGAGTGTAACAAAGCTAAAAACATTTATAGGTGAAATATCTTGTGGTCGATATTTTTCACCGTTGAGATATATATAGTCTTTAATGTCTTTAAAATATCCGCTATAATCTTGTGTATAAATATCTGCAAATCCTGCTGTTTCAGCAAGTTTGCGTAAGTTTTGGTCAATTGATTGTCTTTGTATAGTGTCCATTTTTGTTAATAATTCTTGGAATTGTTGTGTTCTAATGTGATGTTGTATATCGGATTTTGAATATATTCCAA